TTCGGCCCTTCGGGCCTCAGTTTAGTCTAAAAATAAGGGGCGCCCATCCCCTGGACCCACCACTGTTGTAGTTTTGAGTTTTATTTTATTTTCTTACCTTTTGCTTGATTTATGGTATACTTAGGCTTGATAGCCTTATAAATAGTACTCATAATGTACAAACATGAAGTCATTTGCTTCGAAGACACTAAACTTACTCAAGATAATGTGCCATACATATGGTTACCTGTAAGATATAAGTTTATTTTTGTTAAGAGTACAAAATGTTAAGCTTACTAAGGACTTAAAAGTCCCTGTTGAAGCTTTAAGAATTTTCAGTGAAACATTAATGCCAGTTCTAAAGCATTGAACAAATCCACCACAATTTGCTAGGAAGAAAACAACCTTCTGCAAAGTTAGCTGGTAAAGCTGATGCAAGGTTCTGTAATCACCTTGGAAATCTTAAATGAAGTCTTCAGTGATGTCCCCTATACATTTGAAATGGAAGAATCCATGCTGTCATTTGCTTCGCCAAGATTAACACATAAGTACCCTTAGACGACAGTTGCTAGTTTTCCAGACAGGAGGAAGGTGACTGGTTATAAACAAAAAAAAATCAATGCCTTGTTTACTAAGTAAACTTAAACAGTTAAAGAGCCCGTTCTAGTCTTCCACGCCAAATACTAGTAATGAGAGACAACTGGGGACGAGTCAGGTTTTGACCTTTAATCAAAAGTAGGTTGGGTTTGATCGTCCGGGTGAACATAATCCTGAATAAGACTGTTGTTGTTGATAGAAAGATGGGAAAATGTCTCACACAGGAGTCGAACGAAATTGCTGTGCATGCTTTTATAACATCTAAACTAGACTATTGTAATTCCTTGCTCTATGGCTGTAGAAAAGTGCAGTTGAAGAAGCTTCAATATGTTCAGAACACTGCTGCCAGAATCGTTACTCAGACTTGTAAATTTGATCACATTGCGCCTGTTTTATTTGACCTTCACTGGTTTCTTGTTAGTTATCATATTGTTTTTAAAATTCTCTTGCTAGTTTTCAAATAACTTGATAACCTTTCACCTAGCAATTTGGCGGACAGACTTAGTTATCGATCGCATTCCAGGAACTTGCGCTCCGCATCTAAGCACCTGTTAGAACAACCTTGATCATTCATGAAAACTCATGGGGACAAGGCTTTTTCAGTGTGTGCCCCTAAACTGTGGAATTCGCTACCACTGGATTTGCGCAAGTCACCATCTTTAACTGGTTTTAAGAAAGGATTGAAAACATGTCTTTTTCAGCAATTTCTAGAGAGTGGTCATTGTTTTTGTAAAACGATTTTAAGACGTGTAATATATATTGATTGTAAATAGATTTTTCATATTTTTGACCCCGCAGGGATTTCGCCCAGAAGGCGCAATCCCGAGGAGGCACTCTAGTAACTCGTGCGCATATTAAGGAAAGTACTTACAGTTGAAATATACAGTCAGTATGCCAGAAAAAATTGTTTGAAAAGAGGCCACGAGGAATCGGTAGGTAATGACGACGTTTCTATTGTTTGTACGAAATGGTTAGGATGAAGTAAAGACAGAAAATCCCAAAGGGATCACTTAGGGAGATTTTGTGACATTTATTGTCATAGTCATAGCATTGTCATACTTCGATACTCTATTGCGTTACGTGTCATCAGTGACATTCTGTGGAGCAGTTTTTTTAAAGTTATGGACCAAAAGACACTCGTTAAGCGCAGATGAAGTTATTTAGCTCTTAATAACCGAGCGGGAGGTCTGTATGGGAGAATCTTGACCCGGCCGAGGTCACCAGTAGTGAGGTCTGTACCAGTGACCGAGGTCAAGATTCTCCCAATTACAGGTATAGGTATTGTAATTCGTTATACACACAACTTATTACATTCATTTATTCAAAGCCTGAATCCAATATTAAAAATATTAAAATTCAAATACCTTCAAATACGGCACAAAACTCGTAACCAATTGGCCTCAAAGGCACAATCTTTTCCACGAAAATCCTCTAACACCACGGTCCCGATGAGAGCTCGCCATGCCAGAGATTTCACATGAAATTGAGCGTGCAGTTCAAATTCCCCACCCCCTGGAGGACTCTGATAATCAAATTCTCTCCTCCCGGGACGGTGAGGGTGTCACATGCCCGGGGTATGCTCGCCAGGGGGGGGGAGAGATGTTGAAGTTTCGATTTGACTGATACATAACTGTTCAAAGTCCCACTTTTGCACAAACTTCATCAATGAATGAAGACAAAAATTCTTCATACAGGCTCAATGAAAAAGCTTATGGTTGAAACAACAATTTATGAAAAGTGACCAAAAGTGCAACTGCAATGTAAGTAATGCCTGTTTGTGCCTCGATCGCTCCGTGATCAGTTCTCATTTGGCCTTGAGATCTTCGACTGATCACCACAGAAAATTAAAACAATGGTGTTGAATGTGCAGCCTTTGAACTTGTCAATATGCGCTTCGGCAAAAATTACCTGAGGCTGGATTTGTTGGACTCAGTGAAGACATTTTGCTGTGTTGCAGTGTTGTAGTGTTGTAGGTACTGACTTGGTTTTCTTCAGACTGAGTGTGGATGTACCTGGCTCACGATTCAGGATAGCACTGACATATTGTATACGAACCGAGATTAACTGAAAAATTTGGACAAAACAAGGTCGAGCTCATTGGCAGGCATGTTTTCAATGTTTTCTAGACTCTTTCAGTGACTCACAAAAATTTCTTCCACATGCGTTTAAATCACTCTTAGTCCTGTATCGAGTGTTATTTGATTTCTGCTCCTGCAAAAATTTCTCGATTTCGACTTCATCTTTGCTCGTAGCTTCCTCGGCAGGACTCGAATTTGCCAACGTTTGCTCGTTTTATTTACCTGCTTCCTCGTGAAGGTCCAATTTTTTCATATTCTTTGTTTGTATCTTTTTGAGGACAACAAGATTGTTCTGCGGTCAAGATCAATTTTAGCCAATTAAATTCTTGGATTTGTTTGTTTCCAGTCCTTTTGAGACATGGCCATATAAATGGTGCGTATAACTGTGTTTAGTGAAATGCAACTAGTGGTCTATTATCAATACTGCAATCTGATTGGTTGAGCTACTACAGGCTATATGTTATAGTCCACTAACAGCAAAAAGCGCCTGCTTTACGGCAAAAAAAGATTAAAGTCTAGCTTTAACTATAGCTAACGTTGTTTTGTTGCGATATTTTTGACCAATTAGTTGGATTTTACTAAAACAACATTATTCCTCTTGCCCTCATGGCGTCTGAGTCAATAGCCCATGAGGCCAATTGACTCAGAGCCCATTCAGGCTCAAGGAACAATTGTTAAATATATAAACACTTGGAGAGTTTGCCAGACACGAGAGTTAACAAATCTTTGATTGGAAACCTTGCCAGACACTCTTTTTCTCTCTTTGACCGGAATAAGACTCAGCCCCAGACAAGCAAGATAAGTGAACAATGGATAGCTTATCACTAGCAGAACGATGGACGATTACACAAATTCGCCGACAATCAAATTCTGTGCTGACTTATTCCCTGCTCACAGATGTCCTTCCGCTATAAAGTTTAAAGTAAGACTAGAATGCGTTTCCGGCAAATGAACTGAATGAACTGAATGTAAAAAGTGAAAGAGAAAATAATAGCGAAAAATTCAACTTCTAATTAAATCATTTCTTATGGTTCAGAAAAAACTATTCTCAAAACTGAGAATGTTTTAATCAAAGCTGTGTAAATCGAACTGAAACCGTGCATGGAACCTTGCATTTCCTGTATTTATCTCACCTTTTGTATGGAATATGTGTGAGATCTTTATTATGAATCGGTGTATTTCAAAGAGCTACACAACGAGCAAGAATACTATTGACTGACAATATACAGAGCGGGGGCAGCTGTAGTGTGAACTATTACTAGTTTATTCCATGCTTATGATATCTAATTTTTTCATTTTTTCCCCTTTTTTACATTGTAAAGCGCCACGAGCTCAGGATGTGAGCGTTATTATTACAGTTACTGACGTTTTGACAACCTGTGTGGTATTCATCTTCAGAGTCAACATGAGTTGTATCACGTCACTTGATGGTATTATACACCGGTTATTGACCTAATTGGTCAATTACGTTGCGATCTTATTGGTCGTCTGTCTGTTAAGCCATGATGGATGTTACTGGCTATGAAGACTGGTAATGTAATTGGTGCGTTTCGATCCGTCTATTGTCACGGTTAAACAGTCATCTATTGTTAGTTGTCCAGTCGTTCTCTTAGTTAGTTTTGCTTGATTTCGTCAATAAGTTGTTTGTATGCTGCCAGTATAACTGTTGACTATGATTCAGAGGCATTTGTTCTAAGTTAGTAAACTAGCTTTAATTTCTAAAGTGAGTCGTTGATAGTAGTGTGTAGAATAAGTAATACAAGTCTTCAACTATAACTATGAGAGAACGACTGGACAACTGACAATTTGACTAACAATAGAGGACTGTTTAACTGTGACAATAGACGGATCGAAACGCACTAGTTAAATTATTATGTGTCCTTCACAGTTTTAGGTTTGTAAGTTTGACTTTGACTAATAATGATTCATTTTTCTGACAACAGGAACTCTTAGAAGAACTAGCTCAATGCCCTTCAAGTGTTTTAACCAAGCAGGGCAGCCCAGGGCACACGAAACACATAACGCTGGGAAAAATGAATGAATGTAAAGAGTGTGGCAAGTGTTTTAGCGTACCAGGAAGCTTAAAGAGGCATAAGAGAGTCCACACTCGGGAAAAGCCTTATCAATGTAAACAGTGTGGCAAGTGTTTTAGCGAAGCAGGAAACTTAAAAACACATAACAGAATTCACTCTGGGGAAAAGCCTTATGAATGTACACATTGTGGCAAGTGTTTTAGACAAGCAGGTGGCTTAAAGGAACATAATAGAGTTCACACTCGGGAAAAGCCTTATCAATGTAAACAGTGTTGCAAGTGTTTTAGCGAAGCAGGAAACTTAAAAAGACACGACAGAGTTCACACTGGGGAAAAGCCTTATAAATGTAAACAGTGTGGCAAGTGTTTTAGTGTACCAGGAAGCTTAAAGAATCATATCAGAGTGCACACTCAGGAAAAGCCTTATCAATGTAAACAGTGTGGCAAGTGTTTTAGCGAAGCAGGAAACTTAAAAAGACACGACAGAGTTCACACTGGGGAAAAGCCTTATAAATGTAAACAGTGTGGCAAGTGTTTTAGCCAAGCAAAAAGCTTAAAGGAACATAACAGAGTTAACACTGTGGAAAGGCCTTATCAATGTAAAGAGGGTGGCAAGTGTTTTAGCGCCGCAGCAAACTTCAAAAAACATAACAGAGTTCACTCTGGGGAAAAGCCTCATGAATGTAAATATACTCAGGTAACGCCACATAAATATTCCCAGAGAAATGGCTGTCCGTCTAAACGATCAGCAATTGTTGAGAAACACAGTTGTTGGATTTGTCAAGAGGAGATGAGTAGTGAAAAAGCTCTTCTTCAGCATTATGACAATCATATGACATATATATGTGAAGCTGATTCTTAAGTTAATAAAAATACTTTCAGTTCAATAAAGTTTTCCTTTGTTTAATTTAGTTCCAGTTTTTCGTCACAATAGTTTTTAGGTTTCCGTGTTTAAACGGCTAGCTTTTTGTTTAAACTGAAGGATCAAATGTAACATGAATTATAGCTTTCCATTAAAAACCACAGTATTTTCAAATTACAGTAAAAAATAAAAAATATTTTTTGGAGAAATCAGTAACTGCCAAAACCATTGGCATAGCCGTTACATAATGTCCATGAAATTTAAAAGATATTTTTTCTCTCACAGCTGTTGTCTAAGCCTGATGCAAAAAATAACAAAAATGCTTTTTTATTTGACCAAGTAATATACATCTGTGATAACAAAACCAATCAGTTCCAAAGGGACAAGCAAGAGATTTGACGTTAAATTTGTCATACTTCATGGATGTTACTTTCATGGACGTTACATTATGACAACAACAAATTCAGGAAGCTCACTAATAATTGCCAAAAAAACCTGGTTCTAATATTAATTTGTTATACAGCAATAAAAATGTATATTCAGCATTGCTAAATATTATTATGGAGTTAAAGAAAGCACTTAGAATCTTATTGGAGATAATAGCCAATTATAACAACATTATTAATCATATACCACAGTCAACAGAAATATCAAGTGTAAGTTACATGTATTTCATCTATTGAAGTAAACATATCAAATGGTCAATATAGCTCTGTGAAAACTTCTAAATTTCCAACAGTGTCTAAAATTTGAGAATAATATGGAACTCAAAGATACTCTAATTAATAGACCTGAGGTATCAAACATATCCAGTTTTCATCACAATGCTGAAAAAGAGCTTGAAATAAGGCTTTTCTTTTAGAAACACCCTTTCTACCAGCAGCTTCTTTGAAATTTTTAGATCATGGAACAAAAAAAGTACACGAAGATCAGCTTAAAGATGAGTCACAAACATTTACTTAGTGACTTATGTTTTTCGTCAAAAAGGTGAAAATTTAAGGAAAAGATAAAGATTATTTCAAAACTAATGGCTAGTTTTCTAAGGTTTGTGAGAAAGAAAGAAAGTATATACAGGGAATGTACATTTTTGACATCACTGATTTCTTTATCTTTTTTACACACTGTAACGTCCATGTTCTGGAATGTAACATCCATGGCAGTGTTTTGTCATCAAGCAAAGAACGCACACATCACAAAAGAAATATTTATCACTTTGTAATTGTGGTATCACTATTTGCCTAAAAAACAATATCATTTGTTTTTAGTTATGCTTACAGAATTCGCAGGAATTTAATGTTTAACATTTGCACTAAAGAAAAAGTATCGTATCGTCGTACTGTATGCGAAAATTTTCTCGATTTGATGAAACTAGGTGTGTACGGTGGTCCCGGTTAATTTTCAGCTTGTGCGCCTGGCCCAGCAACTGCGCAAACTGGGTTTGGCAACGAGTCGCGTTTGCCGAATTGTGTCAGGATTTCATGCCAAACTAAAAGGTGAGTATGTCTTGTAGTACATCTATTTTTCGATTTCTTTTAATGAAAAAGCTATTCAGCAGTACTGGAATTGTTTGGTATTAAAGAACTTGATTTGTTAGACACAAATCAGCAACGTGGATTGACAGACTCGATCCAAACCACATCAGGAATAGCTCAAATTTTTCAAAACCCAGTCAAAAACAAGAAAGGTGCTAATGTGAAAAAAACGGGTTTTGTTCTATATTGAGGTATTGAGGATTTAATAATAAACAGTGGTCCATGTGTTTGTAGGGTTAGTTTTATATTGCGAAATCCCGATTATTTTATTTAACACAAGGATCAGAAAAAGTGAACTGGGAAATATCTCAAAGGTGATAAACTTGAAACAGTGCTCCATGTTTTTGTAGGGCTAGTTTATTGCGAAATCATTTATATCAGGTGCGTTCAAGAATGTCACACTCGAAGGCAACAGTTGTTCGACACATTAGTTATAGGACATTTATATTATTAGTTACAAATACATAATTAAAGATGGTTTTGTTGTTTAACATGCGTTCTATTACATTTGCAGTGTTGGTTGAACTCATTATGAGATGTATAAAAAACAATTGTCCATCCTAAGCATGACGCAGGGTTCGCAAATACGCCAAATTTGGCGTATTTTACGCCAAAATTGTTCAGATGACTCCACAGAGGTTACAGAGGGAGTCACTTCGACTCCAGAAATTTCCAGTAACAAACAGGGAGCCACTTCGACTACAGAAATTTTCGGTAACAAACACAGTTTTGTCCTTTCCTTTTTCGCAACAAATACAATTTACGTTAATTGTAAACGTTGTAAACCTTAATTAAATCATCATTTATATATTATACTGCATGACAAAACAGGTAAATTACGATCAAAGTTTACTTCGATGACCACCATCATGGATTTGAGCTTTCCAGGTCAGCGGACCGCAACAGCTACTTCATGTATCCTTAACGATAGTGTATACATGCCAGGACCACGTGCTGGAAAGTCTGAAAATGGCTTTTTTCGTAGTGATAATTGACTCCAAATATTCCAAAATGACTCCAAAATTTGTGAAGCAGAAGTCACAGTGACTCCACTCATCAATAAAATTTGCAAACCCTGATGACGTGTATGAGGATTTTCATTAACCCAGGAAACAAAGTGTAATAATTGAGAAAAGAATATTACACTCAGAAACTCTAATACAAAAACTGCATTTCAAAGGTTCATGGCAAATACATGGACAACCACATGGAGTCAAAAGGTCAGGGGCAGATTTAGTGACAACTATGACTAGTTTAAATTAAAATTTTTGCATAATATTATATTTGATGAGTTTTTCATCTAACATGCAACTAGCACCTACCTGTCATAAACAAAGTGAAAGGGAATAGTTGTTTGTTATTTTGTATCTGTTCTAATGATTTTTCTCTAACCACACTTATGCAAATGTAACATCCATGATCGTGGAATGACCCCTATATGTGTTGCCCAGTTTCCAGTGTTAAATGTCTGCTCATGATGACTTCTCATTTCACGAATGAAAACAGGCTTATATTTCTTCTTAAGTTCAGCTTACTCACTTGCGTATGCTTCACTCTAGTTTTTTCATGTTGTCTTTACAGCAAGGGTGTTTTTAACTCTCCAGTTGTTATAATTACTGTAAATAATCTGAAGAAGCAAAAACAATCATAAATACCTTTGGAGAATTTTCATTGTTGTCATACTTGATAAGCACTCCATTCTAAAAAAATGTCAAATATTTCAACTTTGTAGTGAGTTGACTAACTTCTCCCCTAATGCACAAAGGGAAATAAGGAAATAGTGAGGAAATAAACTTTTCCCTACTCTGGTTCAATTTCGATTTTTAACCCCTTTATTTTCCATGCAGATAATCTGTGAAGCTGTGTGATTTTTGTCCTTGCTCGTTAACCATTGGTTACTTGAGGGGGCTACTTGCTATCTCCTTTTGTTCTGGGCACTTGAACATCCATTTATCTGCTTTTTCCACAAAAACGGACTGATAATATTCAAATTTCTGCCCAGACTTGTCCAACTTATTTCAAAATACCGAAAAACAAATAAAGGCAATATTGTGTAGCAGACTTTGTGTAAGTTTTTTATTGCCAAAACTTTCTTTTTACAAAGGCAAAAGTGGATGAATTTAATTACTTACAGTTTCTTAATGATGATTGTGAGCTCCTTGGGGCTGAAGAAGTACTTTTTGGGGAGTTTCCAACATTCAGAGTCCAGTTTGATGAATATTTTAATAATTTTTCCTCCACATCCACTCTGGATAGGTGAGATCCTGAGTCCAGCAACAAAGAGAAAAATCCAGAGCCAACTCAGAAAGTACAAAATGTAGATTCTACCACGTCCCCTGAAATCTCAAGCGAAGAAATTGAAGAGCTCACCACTGTTACCATCAACAAAAATACCTCCCGCTCGACAAATGGATGGATGAATGTATTCAAAAGGTGGTGCCAGTCCAGCCATCTAGAAAATGTAAACATAAAAACAAATGGACGGAGATGATTGAACAACAACAACAATCTTCTTTTGTACTCACTCTTGCTCAAAAATAAATCAAAACAATGAAAATATTAAAAGTAAAAAGTACAGTACATGGCTGCCTGGAATAACCATGGGGGCTAGTGGAGCCAGGCAGCCAGCCGGAATCCCAGCCACTGAAAGGTGTTTAAAGGAGAACTGAGTGTTGTCAATTAAGTAAATTGTTTTAAAAAACATGCAAGTTGTGATCCGATCGTATTCTCACAACGAAAAGAATGAATATATAGAAAAGTACTAAAGTATGCACAGATTTTCTTTTTATGAGTCACGTATTTTGAAAAGAGAACATTGAAGACAGAGTAAAATTATTGGAATTAAACGTTTTAAATAGTTGTCTAAAGATAACAACACCCAATTTGCGTAAAACAGGTCTTAACTGAGGGAACTTAGGAGAGAACTTAGCTCCTAAATTTCCAAAGTGAGGGTGGGCCATGTCCTTCACTCCACTACCCCCCTCCCTCCCCCCATGGAAGCGCACTTCTGGCGCATATTTTTTGCCTTACCATCATGAATGGTCCCTTATCTGCTGAAATAAAATTTAGGGAGAACACTGAATTGGTGTCAATCATCATTGTAAGAAAAAAGAAATGATTAATATGTAAAAGTGTCTTGCGTTTTAGATATTCTCGCAACTGAAATTTTGCCATTCGATTAGTTATATTTTCCCCTTTTTTTCTTATAATCCCTCACCCTTACCCTCGTTTTAGCAACACCGAAGTTTCACAAGTCACAAGAAATCCTCCAAGTGAAGGCAATTTCTGTGCGACAACAAGGAACGACCACTACTGGTTCCTATCAATCGCGTCTAACAGCAAGGTCAAAAGCACCAGCTGGTTTTGCAGGATTTCCAAGTTGTTCCCCACAGTTTCAGTACCGCATGGCCGCTTTTACATATCTCAAATCGCCCTTTCCCTTTTAGCCTGAATTCATCCGATTACTTCGAGTCGTTATAACAGTCAAGGGAGGGAAAACACAGTCCTATTCAGGAGTCGAGCCCCAGGAAACACCTAAGTTCTTCTTTAAATCCCTTACGTATACGTTGGGAACTTCTCAGTCACGGCACAGAGGAGTATATGCAAGACAGGTCTTCGAACGTTGTTAAACATCTGCAGAGTTCAGAGTCTTTTTTTTCTTTTTCCACCTGAGGCTCCTTTTTCTATGTCACTACCTTTGGTTTAGGATGCAACCCTTTTCTTCAATTACATCAACAATCAACACCCCAATATATGCTTTACAATGGAGCGGGAAACTGACCATGTTCTACCTTTCCTAGATGTTCTAATCAACAACACTGACCCACACCAAAGTGTAACCACCGTTTACCAGAAAAAGACTTTCACAGGTTTGCTCACCAGTTATCTGAGTTTTTGCACCTTTACCTACAAATTGGGGTTAATCAAAACCTTGATTCATAGAACTTTTAAGATAAACAACACTTGGATGGGGTTCCATACTGACCTTCAAAAATTGTCTGTCATCACCGGAGACTTTCGTTTTTCCGATTTCTTGGTTTTCATCCCTCTTCTCTAAATCAGGAAGAAGAAATATTGTGAGATAAAAAACTAAACAACTGCAGAACATTGGACGACCAGATTTCTGAAAAAAGATAAAATACCTGCAGTGGTTTCCCTTTCTTTGAGCTCGAACAGCTCAAAGACTCCGCCCAGCGGGGGAGGGTGGTGAACTTGGTAGTTTGTTTGTCCCAACGATCTTGGCCATCGTGACGTCACGAGGAGAGAAGCGCGCAACTTCGAGGAGTTTTCGAAAATGGCGCCGTTGCCATTTCCAAATGCTACTTTTAAAGGTGGTTTTCCTGGATATTGACGCTCCAAAATGGTTTTTGTCACGGTAGGATAGTGCAGTTCCAACATCTGTTTCCGAGAAGGTGAGTGAAATGTGTATTATTCCGAAAAATAACGCGTATGAGAGCTGTAAACAGTTTCGGTCAATTTCCTCCATTGAAAAAGTGTTATTGTAGGTGGCTCGACCCAGCCTTTTGGCAGGTACACCTTCCATCTTTGAGAACGGATGTTTTGAGTCAAATGAGTCAATGAGTCTTGAGTCATGAGTCAATAAGTCAGATCTGAAAAACTAAAAGTTTCGGTAGAAACAATAAAATTAAGCATTACTTTTACTTAATTTGTCTACGTGCTTCATTGCTGCCTGCACATGCAGGGCCTATTTCTGACATGAAATTTCAACCTGGCCTGTTTGTTAGCAGTATTCCAGGTCCTGCCGCTACTACTACGTGCATGTCCCGAAAAATAGCCTTCCCAGACACCCTTCAAGAACCATTTAAACCATCAGACAATCCATACTACTACAGTTTCCATACCAGAAGTGAAGTGCTGCCCCAAGGTTGTTTATATTAGGTGATGCACGAGTTTTAAACAGGCGAGCTAATGTAAATAAACACAAACATAATCAGCAAACAATGAATTGCAATGGGTATACAGTAATACCTCGACAATAATTATTCATACACTGTATCAGCTGTATGTTTCTAATATAAACACTGACTGTGTACAACTGTTCGACTCGCTGTTTCATCAGTGTATGACAACTGCAGACTGCAGACTGCATGAGGCAGCAAGACTGTAAATTGAATGAAACCAAAAATATCGTAATAAAGGTGGCGTCATCATCGACATTACCTTGTTCTTAGATGTACATGTAAGGCCTAGAAGCGAAGTTTATATTTTTCACGCAAATTACACCAACCTCATTCCTAAAGGAGTTGTTGGCTGCTCTTCTCGTATTGAATTAGAACAGAATAATGTCTGCCGATGTCACAAACTCGCTCATGACTCCATAGAAACAGGCTAGCAATTTAGCCTGCACCACAGACGAAACTAAACTCTCGTTATATAAGTCTGTCTATGAAACAGCGCTGGAATCCTTATTCTTATGAGCAATGATTGGCCTGTTAAAAAAGCCATTGTTGATATGCCTATTTAGAAATTCAAAATGCACTTCCGGTAATTCATTGAGTCCAGGTAGGATCTGTTCGGTTTAGATTATTTGGCATATCCTTAAATACTGCTAAGATGATGAGTACTCCGGATTTCAAGTGACTGGTTTTGGGGGTTTGAAATGGGTCTTGACAAACTGCGAGCCAGTGAGCCATGCGAGCCACGCGAGCCACGCGAGGCGTCGGTGAAAAAAAGGAAACACAAGTAAAAACTGCAAATTTACACATGAAGAGTTGAGCACTCATTATACTGATAGAGGCCGGAGTAGTCAATTGATAAAAATCAGTATCGGTAAAAATCGATAGCAATCAAGTGATTTTTATCGATTGATAACGGAAATCGGTGAAAATTGATAAATTAAATCGCTGTGTCACTTCGATATTATCGATTTTTCATGATTTTAACGATTTATAACGGTAAGTCCGACGTTGTTGTTTTTTGGCATAAGTTAAATATTACAGCTGAGAAAACACATGCAAAAGGAACAACTGATCAACGAACATGAAAATAAGAAATGTGGAAACTATTACAGACACAAGATTCTCTCTAGAACTGTGACCCTTTTCCACATAATAACAAAAACAGTTCAGTTTAATTATTTTTGCAGTTCTCGCAGGTAAGTCAGTACCACAAGAAATACAACCTTACATAAAAGATTCCCGCCCTGAATTTCAGACATCCTCTAAAGAGTCGAAGGGATGCCTGAAATTCAGGCTAAAAGATTTCCCTATATACCTTTTCACTGTTTTCCGTTATCAATCGATAAAATCACTTGATCGCTAACGACTTTTATCAATTTCAAATTTTATCTATTGGCTACTTCAGGAAGTAACTACATGTGGAACTGAAGTTATTTTGAAAGGGTGGCAGATCTAAATCGTGAAAAAAAATGGGCGCCTACAAACCTGGCCAATATTGGCCATCGAAAGAAGACTTGAAAGTGGGTTTTAAAGAAAAAAAAAAAAATTTTTGTAAAGTGATAATGAATTGTTTGATCCTTCGACTCTCAATTGCAACTCAATTGCCAACAAATTCACTGTTAATGTTTGCATCAAATCAGTTTTCATTTTTGAATGAACAGAAGAACAGTTTTATCTTCCAATATAATTTGATGGAATCGGTAAAATCTAGGTAAATTGATAAACGAAACGAGTGTGTCATCGATTTCTACCGATTGATCGATACAATCGATACCATTCAAATCAGATTTACCTATTTTTGTCGATTTATTGATTGATAAATTGATACCGATTTTTATTGATTGACTACTCTGGGTGATTAGGTTTAACCACTAATTGTACTGATTAGGGTCAAGCTTTCATTTTACGGATTAGGGTTAAGCACTCATTTTAGGGCTAGGGGTTAAGCGCTGTTTAGGGTTAAACACTTATTTACAGCTTAGTTATAAGCTGTGGACAATGTCTGATCTAGTATTTGCAGCTTGGGGTGCAATGTGTCTCAGTCAACAATTTTTAGAGGGACGCTTTGTTTTTTGGGGGGTCATTTTTTTTTTTTCACTATATATTTTTTAATTCTAATGTACCGGGTGTTATGAACTAGTGTTCAAGTCCTGTATTTTGCACAGCCAACGGTAAAAGGATCTTGTTTCTTTGATTTTTGACAAAGCAAAGAGAACATACCCTTTGGTAGATCGAACTTCAGCCATTTGTACATCTCTAGCCAGCTCTGTTGAAAGTTTCACTTTGACAACTTTGATTTTGGTACACTCGATTGATCATCCTTGGACTCAGCTTCATTATTTGCCATGGACGTTTCTGCAGTTTCTTCTTTGTGTTGTTGCCCAAAAAATGCTGAAAGCCTTCTTTTTTTTTTACATCTCTTTGCATTGACACACATTAAGAGAAGGGCTCTCAGTTAAGCACGTGGATGTACATGTACATAATCTACCCCCATATAGCGTTCATCCAAACCAGTACCAGGAACCTCGGAAATTTGAGCCTTTTACATACGTCATATTCTCTGGATTTTGGTTCCTTCTCTACTTTTTATCTTCAGAAATTTAAACCAAAGTATTGTTTCAAGAAGATTTTGCACAAGGAGAAAGTACATTTCCTTGTTCCTTTTTCTGTGTAAAATGGGGTTGACATGCCTACATGACTCCCCAGCGTGTGTTTAAAATAGCCTTTTTATAGTTTGGCTCTCACGAGTATGTCTTTGAGCGACCGCCCTCGTTTATAAGATATGAGGGGCAGTTTTTTGTAGATTTCACTCAGTAATGGTTGTTGTTCTATTAAATGCCAGTTTTTCATGAGAATTTGCTTTAGGTTAGGCACTGATGGTTGGTATTGTGTGACAAAAGGCAAGATTCGTAGGTTTGTCTTTGGTTTCTGTTGAAGGGCTAGTTTCCTGTCTTTGAGATACACCTCTGAGAGAGTTGTGTTAATGAGGTCCTGGGTAACCCCTCTGTAGCAGATGCGCTTTGAAATTTGTAATTTTCTCGTCGAATAAAAAAATTATTATTTTGGAAGAGTTTGTTCTGAGGAGTCGGAGGGCTTCCCCTTTAATGAAGTCTTTTTTAACTCCTTGCGGGTGACAGGAACCAAAATGGGTATACTGAAATGTCTCAGTTGGTTTGAAATGAGTACGCACATCAAGGATTGCGTCTCTTTCGAATCTTTCCCCTTTGTCCAATGAATGTTGTTTCCTTATCAGAAATTTCAGCCGTAAACTTGATTGTAGGGTGATGATTGTTTGCTTCTTCAATGGAATGTTCTATTCTGTCTCTGTTTGTAGTCCAGAGCGAGAAGATGTCGTCTATATAACGTTTCCAAACTAGCGGTTTAAAAAGGCTTTGGCTAAGGATTTCCGTCTCTACCTTGTTCATGAATATATTAGAAAAGGCGACTGCCATTTTCGTGCCCATGGCCGTACCATGTGTTTGAAGGTAGTTTTTTCCATTAAACTGGAAAGAATTTTCTTGGAGAAT